CGGGGGCAGGGCGCCGGGGGGGAGGGCGGCCGGAGCCCTGGGGGGAGGGCGGCGAGCCCTGCTGTGGCCCCGCTCTCCCCGGGGGCCGGAGCGCTGCGCCGCCGCCCCCCTCCAGGTGCCGCCCCAAGCACCAGCTTGGGTGCCTGGTGCCTGGAGCCGGCCCTGCCGGGCACAGCACAGACACACGGTGACTGAGAGCAGGGCCCCGTCATGCCGGGCGCTGCACAGACACACGGTGACCGAGATCAGGGCCCCATCATGCCGGGCACAGCACAGACATACGGTGACTGAGAGCAGGGCCCTGTCGTGCCAGGCACTGCAGAGACTCAGTGAGAGGCAATCCCTCCCCCAAATCTCAACAGAGAACAGTTTTATCTCCATTTACAGATGAAGAATAGAGGGAAAGAGCAATGAAGTGTTAGATTTTTAAAGTTATTTAGGTGCCTGCTTTTGCAGAGAAGCATCCTGTGGGATTCTGCAAGGCACCTACTGGCCTAACTCCTGTTCAGTGTAATTTAGGCCCTTGGGCACTTTTGATTTTCCCCAGCTGGGGATCTAGCCTCATTGACCCCAGTGAAGTGACACTGGGGACTACGCTGCCGCTGTGGTGTAGCAAAGCCTTCTCCTTGGCCAAGGCTGTTGCTCCGCCCTGGGTGGCCCTGGCTGTGGTCTGTGGTCTGGCTGAGCCAGGCCCCTCTGGGCCATGTGGGGGTCTCTGCCGTCCCCTGCAGGGTTCGTCTGGGCTCTGAGCTCCCCATGTGTTGGCCTCTGCCAGCCTGGCCCCAGTTCCAGGAGGGGTGGGGGAGGGGGGATGAGATCCCTCCCGGCTGTTTGGGGGACTTCGGGCCGGTGTGCGCACAGTCGTGGGGTCAGCAAAACAGGCAGTGGCCTCCTGCCCTGGGCTAGTCCCCCGTGGGGTGGCTCGGGAACAGTCACCCTCCTGCACTCTCCATTAATTTTCAAGTGCTGACAAGCCCCAAGCCGGGAGCTCGGCCTGCCCCGCGCAGCTGACAGGAAATGATACTCGGCTCCCTTGGCCGTGGGGTGGAGGGGAACTTTCTCACTGAGCTGGTGCACGCTGGCTCTGCGGGGCTGCTCCTGAGGAGCCTTTTCCTGCAGCTGGGCAGGCCGGGACAGCAGAGAGCTGAGAACGGGACGGGGCGGCTGCAGAGAGGACTCGCTCCCCAGTGCTTCCGTCCTGGCCGGGATGCAGCGGTGAGGGGCTGGGCCTGCCCCCCTCCCTGCCACTCAGGGAACAGCTTCACTGCAGGATCCGGGGCTGCAGGTATACAGGGGATTCCTGGATCAGTGCAGATCCTGCCTGTCTGTCTGTCTGTCCATGCAGCCTGTCCATGCTTGGCTGTTTCTCTGTTGTGAGGCTGAAATTGGCTCCTTTCCCTTAGTTCCTCATTCGTGGTACTGGTTCCTGATTCCGAGAATTGTTGCTGTTTTTCATTCCACACTGGCAGATCAGACTTTCCGAGCTTTCCCCACCACTGTGCGGCTGAACGCGAGGACAGTTTGTGTCAGTCATTCAGCATTTATTGAACCATTCAAGAGAGCAGCTGGGTTTGCCAGGCTGGACACGACACATTGTGTTTTGGGGACCCCCAGGTGATGTATCCCCATGGCCGTCAGGCTGTCTAGAAGCAGCTAGCATGTGCCACTCGCTGATCCAAAGCTTTTTTTCCTGCACAATGTGCTGCCACGGGTCATGCCCCCTGCCCACTTCCATTCTGTTTAGGTGCTTGAATAAGTAACTGGGAATAAGGAAACTAACTTCAGCCTCATCTGTCTATCTGTCCATCCCCAACCATACCCACCTGTCTGTCTCTCTGTTCCCATCCTTCTATGTATTCATCCTCATAGAATCATAGAATACCAGGGTTGGAAGGGACCTCAGGAGGTCTCTATCTATCTATCTATCTATCTATCTATCTATCTATCTATCTATCTATCTATC